CCCACTGAATACCTGTTTTAGTGGGAAAAAAAAGTAAATTATTTCACCAGAAGATTGTCAGATTATGACTCACAAATATATTCATGTTTAAGGATGCAAGTTTATATTTTGATTATAAGTTAATTATTGGTTATATTTCTCTGAGTTATTTCTGTTGGATAATATCAGAAGTTTTGATTGTAAATTTCTCCCAGTTTGTCGTTACTAGATACAATGTGCTTATCAGTTAGTGTAGCATATGGATCTCTTAGAGTTTTGCATGAATATGGGATAAAAGAGCTGTTTGTTGAGTGTATATCGGCACAGAAGGAGTTAATCTTAGTATTAGTATCTTTTCCTCGTCTATTCCTACAAGTTCAAATAGGTTAATATCTTCCATTGAACAAGTATGAATATTTACTGTGGACTATAAATTTTGTTTCTCAGTTATATAAATTGGGAGAAGTATAAATAAAATAGTACTTTAAGGTTAGCTATTGGCTTTGGTCTCTCATTGTTAGCAGGTTAATTTTGCATGGCTTTGAAAAACTTCTATTCACTCCCCACCAAAATGAGGACTCAAACCTTATATAAAGAATTTCGCTCGACACCTTTGATGACCGTATTGGATGGCAAGTTTCATACGAAGCTTGTGAATTACTTGAATAATGGTTTTAGCTAATAATGTAGTGAAACTCATTACATTTCTGTTGGTTTCAGATAAAGAAGCAAATTGAAGCTGTGAATGAGGTTTACAGGCTTCACAGTCTTCCAGAATTTTACAAAGTAAGTTTCACACGTGGATGTGGTGGCGATTTTTTGTTTCTTTTCTTTCCTTTTTTCCCCTGTGGTTACATTACATAAAGTCACTTTCGTCTTCGAGGTTACAAACACTGAATTTTCCTTTGGTTTTCACAGGATCCTCGCCCACATATATCTATAGCTTGGGCAGTTGGTGATATAAGTGATTCTTTGAAGAAGGTGATTGGAGAGGAAATGAAGAGACACATTGCTATCAGAGGTTTATCGCAAAAGCGCATCTTTACCTGCTTGTTTGGTGGTATTTCATGTAAAATAGGTAGCAAGTCCTATGATATATGCAAAGTTCAGGAAGAATAAGATGTATCATTATCTGTATGTAGATTGTGCGCCTTTGCTCAACAATTTGATGTAATGCTAATATTATGCCCTGAACTATCATTTATTAGGAAAAACTACAACGAAAAAAAAAAGTTTAAGGCTTTGCATATCTGGAAGTGTTTCGCAAGTCGATGCAAATGCATGTGTGATTGAATGATTAAAACTCTTGTTTGGATACTGCTCTCAAGGTACGGTCAAAAGTTCAAAACTACCGAGTTTTCATATGTTAATTGTGAAGACAACACATATTTTCGTATAGAGTACACAATGACAGGTATTACTCTGAAGGATCATCTATCTGCCTCGGTTAAATTCTTCTCGGATTTGCTTATTGACTGAAATTGAGTTGTTCAAATATGACAACATCACTTAATTGCATAACATTTAAACAAAAATTTATTATGAGGTTTCACAGCTTTCAATCTAAGACCAGCAGTCTGGATAGCAAATCAATTAAAATGACCATTATACCCCTTTTCTGGGCCATAATAGCTTTCATATGCCCAGAACAAAGCAATTCCGAATTAAATAAATCAATGCTTAGCCATCTCTGCTGAGCAAAAGCCCAAAAAAATGCTCAGAGTCCAGGGATGGATTCAAGATTGTATTTTCTAGGAGGCAAAGTCTCAACTTCTCGACTGTCCTGCACATCTGGCTTTTTCATGGCATCCAGTGTGTGTAGATATGTGTAAGAAGCATTTCGACTTGATGGAGGGCCAGGATTGCTTATTCTGCTGGCAAGAAAACGGCGAATTAGGCCCCTTAGGAATGGAGCCATTGTATCCGGCTCGTGTTCTAGGTAATACATGATTCCACCCATACATGCACAGAACAAAGCCACCTGATAGAATAATGTAAAATAAATCATTACAATTCCAGAANGTTCCAAAATAGGAACTGAAAACCTTTCACTTGTGCACACTGAACAATGGGAGAACAGGCCCCTTTCTCTTTATGTACCTTCTCATTTATTTTGATTTTTTAATACTTTATTTTAATTTTGGTTATTTAAGGAAAAAAAACAAAAATACCTCAGCATTCTTGATATCGGGAAGCAAACGACGATTGACCAGTATGTACCACAAAGATTCTCCAGCACGTGGGAGAACATACAAGGCCAACTCCCCACGTCTAGCTTTCTTCTCCAATAATACCGAGAGAGCAGATATCCCTCCTGCTAGCCAATACACGAGTTTGTGGTCCCGCAATGCCACTTTCCTGTGCAAGCATATTACACCCTTTTATAGAAGGGAGAAGTTAATCAGTAAAAATTATTATGTAGGGAAGATGCATATTTGAGATTTAAATAGAAAAAGGAAGTACCTGAAAAATACCAACAAAAGCAGACAAGAATGTGGTTGATCGAACAGCACCAGTAACTGCATGCCAACAAGTGCGTACTGGAGCATCCATAAACTGTCAACAATAAAGGAATCTATATATGACGAGACAAAATGGTGATAAACTTTTTACATAGATTAAAATCTGGCCAGTAAATGCAGCTGTACTTTCATACAATTAGTCACCATTCCTATCTATTAATATGTTTGTCGGTCTTATAGGACATGCAAGTCACTTTTTAAAAACTGGATGATCAATGTAAACTTTCTGATGAATAATTACGTGATATATTCTTACAAATGTAGGCAAGAAACTACAGCTATATAAACTTTAAGTTCAACAAAGAAATTTCCAGTTTCTGGAGTTGGATTTAGTGTTTAGTGTATATGTATTTGTTGTCCACAAAAACAGAATTTAGGACTTCACTCGAATTTATGTTGTACCCACTTCCGTAATTTATCTGCTACCATTTATGAGGCAAATTGTAGAATAATCATGAACAGGTGTATACCTTCTGTAAACGCAGAACCACAAATGGAACAAATGTCAGAGAGAAGTAAAGAGGAAATGTTTTTCTGAAAGTTGAGGTTGCAACGTTGCCATTGTGAACTAAGCACGAGTTTGTATCAGGATGAATTATAGAGCAGGGTATAATACGAGGGAACTCTTCCAACTTCAGAGTTTTGGGTGCCCTTCGACTGGATAGGTAAGCAGATAGTGAATCCACATCTACTGGAGAACCTCTACAGCAATCCCTCACAGCTTTGTACACAGGCTCGGCAACGGGCCCTGTTTTCTGGATGAAGTCTCGATATGATTTTGGCAAGCTCTCAGGACGCATGACAAAAGCATACATAATCTGTGAAGTTATCATGATTAGATAACCAATGAAGCAAATAAAGCACACAACTAATGAAGGTCCTAAGAGTGGGCTGATATGAATTTTCTGAAATTTATGTTCTATCAAAGATTTAATCCTATCAAGATCATTGGTGATGAACGAAGCAACAAAAAAGTAACAATTCATACTTTGTACATGCAAATTACCTGCGCACAAGCAATTGAAAATAGTAGAGTATCCCCATGACTCCAATGACTTCCCCATAGATGGAATTTGTTTTTGGATTTTGCAGAGTTATATGCACACTAATTAAAATAAGAATAAATTAAAAAGATCAGAAGGCACAAAAGCTCAGCAGTCAATACCTCAGACGACAAACGAGAAAAAAATAGGAGAATAAATACAAGATACTTGTACCTGAGCTAGCCTAGCAAAAAGATATAAAGCCAGTGTGCGTCTTCGGCTAGAATCATCTAATGCTAAAATAGACAAGCCTGATATTGCACCTGCTAAAATTCTGTTTCATCACCCCCTTTAACAAAGTCATCAAAATGAATTGGATAAATAATGCAAAAAGGAAAAAGTAAATACCAAGAATTATGCTAGACAAATACCTAAATACAGCAAGAATTACCCATGTACTGTTAACGGACACAACATGAAGGTATGATAGGGATTTTATAACCTAACTTGCAATAATTAAAATCAAACCAAACATTTATTTTGAACTTACGCATTTATTGGAGTCTCCTTCTTTCTCAACTTTCTCAGCAAACACCTCAAAGCATGGTAGGAACCGGTGAATCCCCCAAAAAGTAAACCAATTCGACAAGCTTCCTCTCTTACTATAAGATCCTTCTCTGAAACAAGTTGCTGCAATGAAATTGAATTTTTACTTACTACTTGATTATTAAAAAAAATGAAAATCAAACAAATAATATAACCGTGCAAGAAATATCTTATATTAAACCATTGGTCATCAAATTTGAAGTCTCA